AGGGCCACATAGAGACAAACGAGACAAACAACCATTCACTCTCTCACTCACACCTAGGGACAATTTAGAGTTACCAATCAGCCTAACATGCATGTTTTTGGTCTGTGGGAGGAAACCGGAGTACCCGGAGAAAACCCACGCATGCACAGAGAGAACATGCAAACTCCACCCAGAAAGGCCCCTGGACCGGGGTTTGAACCAGGGACCTGTTCGCTGAGAGGCAGCAGCTCTACCAGTTGCGCCACCGTGCTGCCCTGCACCGCTCATGTTGTGATAAAAATAAGGAAAAAATAACCACTTCGTACAAAGTTTCCCCAAACACCGTATGTGTATTCTGTCAACTTCTGCCACATTTTCTCCTCCAGTTAGAATACACACTTTTATTGTTACATTAAACAGAGAGCTACTTGTGCCAGAATCAGGATGTAGGGCAGGTGCTGCCTGAGCGCCTGTCAATGTCCATCCTACACTCTGTGCATGGGAGAAACAAGCGTTTCCACACATCAGAGACAACTTGTTGTCACAGACTTTGTTATCAAATACAAGAATTTGAGCATTGGACCATATTTTTTGGCCTATAAGCTGCATTTTTTTTAAACACATAATTTACATGCCCTGCAACTTATAGGCTGAAGCAACGCATTTATGGATTTTTTCCCATATTTATAAACCAATTTTTGGCTGATATATGACCATTTTCATTCATTCTGATTGAAAAAAAAAACAAAACATTGAACAGTACCATTTTCAGCCACTAGATGGCAGAATAGTAAGGCGTGTCATATCATGTTGGTAAAGTGGCTATAATGACAAATTCAAAAAAGTTCAAGACAAAAACAACTGGACTTTATTATACTTTATACTTCTTGAACTTTTTTGAATTTACCATGTACTGCATGACTAACAATCTTCACCAGCTATTAATTACACAATCGGCTTGCCATAGTCCCCCCACCTTGGTTCTGCTCGCTGCTTGGATCAACTGTCAAACCAGCTGCACCGCCCTGGCGAAATGCAGCTAATTTTACCATTAAAGTTAATTTATTAAGTAAAAGTTCAACTGAGACACACATTTACTATAATTTCGAGCAAACAATTGTTTTTAAGTGTTAATCTTGTTAAAGTCCTCCCGTGCACGCTCATGCAGCTGCCATTTGGCAGCCAATCGATTTCTGGCACAACACCGGCCCACATTTCCGGGTTGTCAGCAGTGATGCGTAACAAACGCGATGCGTCAGCGGTGACGCATAATAGATTCGTCACTTCGCCATATACGTCGCATTTATGAATTTTCCCACTTTTTAAGACATATTTGTACTGATGGGACTTATACGGCAGTGCGACATGCACAGCGGAAATTACAGTAACTTGTTAAAAACCAAATCCCTTCCCTCAATGCCCATTTTGATTTATTGCACACACAAAAAATATTCCCCAGATGAGCGTGTGCATGTGTTTGGTGTGCTTCCAAGATGTTGACTTACTACAGCTTTGTCTTGTTTCTTGTCAGCGTGCAACAACACAGCAATAAAGTCAATTCCAGGAAGTCTGTGTTGAGACTAAAGCCATGCGGCCTAATTTCACTGTGTTACAGTTTACATCTCATTGCTTTATCTTTAAGAGACGCCCCATAATCAAAATCTTAGGAGGCCATAAGACAACTGAATGTTAACGTGCAGGTAACCAAACCAGGAAGCAGTTTCAACTCTGCTGTCTGTTCGTTCTGCAGAAACAGTCTCGTTTTAATGTTTTCCACTGCAGCCCAGTGTCAGATTCACAAAGTCAGTAAGTTCACAACACGAGGGGAACAAAAACAACCCCACAAACTGAAACTCAACACCGCTGCTTAGCGATTGCACCAAACGCAGCCAATCACCAGCAGAGTTTCAGGCCTCGCTGGTTAGATTCCTAACAATGCGGTTTGCGAGCTAGTCAAATTACACGCTGCCAGAAGCTACGTGTGGCGAGGTTACTCTCTGTCAATGACCTAGAGTTAACTTGACTCAACATCTTCTTGCAAGTTGTGGACGGCCTGAAAAAGAAACTTGCAAGTGCACCTTGTACCACAAAGTGGCAACACGTTAATTTATGGCAACGACTTCAACACATGTCCTTTTTCTCCGTGACAAGCAGAGCTGCAATAAAACAAAGAGGCTGTCTGTGTGAGAAACTCCACGGGTCGCAGCTGGTAAAACAGCAATTACAGCCGAGCATAAACTCTTCAGTTCAGGCGCTGAATAAATATAAACCACTTTCAATCCATAACGACAGGTTAAGAAGTCTGCTGAAAGCACATGCGGAGGAAATTCAGTGGATTTAAAAGCAAAGTATGTAGTTAAGAACTTGTGTTTAACATTTCTAGACCCACAGGTATTTTCTGAAATCTTTGTCATGCTCATCTGTGTGACCTGCAGACAAAGACAACTTGTGTGCGAGCTGAATATATATATCCTGAAACGCTTTTTGCAGAGCATGCATTCAAAGAATTAGTGCAGGAATTCTGTAAATGCTCCGTTTCTATGAAAGTTATACAGTAAAACTGAATTTTGCAGAATATAAACGATATTATTCTTTAGTTAAAAAAAAAAGATGTGCACTTAAGTTAAACTCTGGAGCAGTTAAATCTACTTGCACAGCAGCTGCTGCAGGTGAATGATTAAAAAAACAAACAAATGTGCAGTTTTGTCCAAGCTCAGGGGTTCAATGCACATGGCTAGCTGGAGCACGTCCCACAATGCACCGAGATATTCAGCACAGATCAGCACTCTGGTGGAGCAGCACGCACACAAAGAAAAATATTTACTTTAACTGATTTCGTCTCCAGATCAGCTGCTAAAGTTGTCTCCACAGGGCCTGAGATTATTTAAGAGCGGGAACCCTGTCACGAAAGAGCACTGAGATTTTAAACAAAAAGGTCTTCCACAAGGTCTTTCCTGCTTTATCACAAACTGTTACAGGTTTCATTTTAATTACTCGAGTTAGTTTTTCTAAAAGTTGTTTGACAGAATTATAAAATCTTTATTTGGAGTCAAGTTATTAGCAGCACTAACGCCTGTAGAAATTGCACTTCCCTCCCAGGGTATCCAGTGTTTGCCTGATCAGAATGCTAAACAAGACCTCTAATGAATGGAAAACAATTCACAATTTTAAACCTAAACTCCCTCTAGCAAGTAACGTTTAATGATGCAGATAATACAGGCTGTTTTAGGTTGGTGTCTCTTAACAAAAAAAAAAAAAAAAAAAAAACGTTGTCCAAGCTGATTTATCAGGCCTTTCAAAATACTGTTTTGTATGTTTTTCCCCAAAAACAATCTTTGCATGAAGCCCTATGAAACCCTGAATGTCCCAACAGCCCCGCTGCAGTCGCTGCTCAATTTGGCAACTTCAAAAGATAACTTTAAAGAAGAGTCTGAGCAGAGGAGGTCACAGTATGAGGAAATTATGCATTTGCAAAAAGAAGGTGTTCTAAACTAGTAGCAGGAAACAGATTTATAAATGATGTCTGGAAGAAAGAAAGACTTATAAAAAGCAATGAGGGGAAAAAAATAAAATGTAGTAATCACAGCTGCCAAAGCAGCTCAAATGGATATGACATCATACATTAGGGGTAAATATACCAGTATATCTTGTGGTTTTGTGGGTAAAACATTGTTTGACTTTAAATGTGGCTGTCACAAAATAATAAACGAAACAAACTCCACACTGACCTGGGAGGTTTTATGTGGCAGCAGAGTACACAACAGCTTATATAAGCAGCTCAGTGGGTTATGTAATAAGGCCTATAGAAAGGGCGTAGAGATGGGTGCCAGCTCTTCTGAACGTTGTGACACCACAGACCAACGCGCTTTGTTCAGAAATGGCTTCACATGCGAAGCTTTTCCTCCAAACGATGACAAAACTCTAAAACGGCCTGTAGGCAGGTTGATATACAACGGAGGAGTTGTGCATCACAATGAGTCACGTCTGCTGTGAGACCAGCTCGAGAGGAGCTGAACTGGGTGAAAGGTGACAGCAGAAACCATCGCAGAAATGACCCCCTGAAAGTCCTCAAAACATCAATGGATGCAAATGATTAACACAAGCCGAGTAGAACTGTTCTTTGCCGTGTTTAACGTTGTTTAAAAATATATAGTGGTGGGGTAGAAACGTCCCAGACCGGCATGTTTGTGCATGAAATGCCTCAAACAGAGATCATCAAAACTAGACTAGTGGCTTCAGCCTATTAGAAGCAGCTCTACACATTTGCCATCATTATCTCATCTTTTTCACAACTCGGTGACCCCCCTTGCCTTTCACAATCAGTAGATAACCCTTGCTAATCTATAGGAGGTCAGAGCACAGGCAGCCGAGTGTCTTTTGTGCTCCCTTGCTTTCACTTTCCACTTCAAATGTCAAATATGGGCCAGTGTGGAACGTAAACAGGAGGTGGCAGTTATTTAATATTGACCAGGGACAAAAATGTGATGGCAAAGAGCACACGTGGTGCCGTTCTGTGACAATAAAGCAGAGTGAGGGGTGAGTTTGGGGTGGGAGGAGATAAAAGCAGGGGATTAACTCGGAGCATCTTGGTGTTAACTACATTTGTGCTTAATTAACTGCTCCGGTGACGTGCTGCACATGCATATGAGGGGAGAGGAGTGAATCCATCGAACAGACTCTCTCTAGTGTCCCCTCGATTCATGTGGATCCAGTTCTGCAATATGAAGCAGGCGTGCCAGCAGCTGCATGAACAAGACACGCTGCCAGTGAAGAAATGTTCTGGACTCAAAACAGTCGCCTGTGTTCCACATAATAAAGGTGCTTTGAAAATTAAAATTTATTTTAAGGCTGATACAAATGTCTTTGTGGCACAACTGCACTAAAATAAAATAAAATACCCAACTACATCTGCCAAAGAACCGAACAAGACGGCTTTTGTTTAAAATTAAAATGGCCCCAAACAACTGAAACAAAAACTGAATGGGAGCAGTGACGGGGGTCCTGACTGCCACACAGACCAGAGGGTCCCATGGGGGAGGTGGGAGTGAGAGCACATCACTCCAGAGCTGCTGGATCACATTTCCAGCCTGGTGCTCAACCAGTATGACCTATAGTAAACTCAGACGGGCTTGACAAAGAGGTTACTAAAGGGCATTTCCACCGCACTGGAAACAAAGTGATCTGGTTACGGGCCTGGCAATCCCCGATGATGACATTGTTTTCTTGTTTTCTCCCTAAGGAGACAAGCTGCCATCAATACAAGTCACATCACCTGTGCATATAGATTGGAAGAAAATACACCGAGTTAAAACGCTCGAAGTAGAGAAGTATAAAAAAAAATAAACGGCCCTGATCAAGGAAGGTCTATGCAGCAATCAAGCACAAAGTCTGATTTTAACGGTTTTTGTGATTTTAACAAAGAAAATCTATTTTCCCACAGTTTTAGGCACTCCACACTATTCTGAATTGTTGTATAAAAAAGTTTTAGGCAAAGAAAACTAGTCAAAAGGTATGCAATGACAAAAATACTCAACCTTTTGATTTTTTTTTTCCTCAAAAGTTCAATAAAAATTGATAAAATAAAACTAAAAACTAGTGTTTAAATTGTTTCACACCTCTGCTGTCATCCTTAAAATACAAAAGTAGATTAAAAACAACTGCATTTCATATGCCCATTTCTTTCCACGTCTCTGATAAACTGCTTTATAATGTGAAAGGTTGAATAACTCCTGCACAATATATTTATCTTTTCTATCCGTCATCTCTGTGATCATTTTGTTTATTCAGATGCTCTCTGTGAATTTATGGGGGGGGGGGGGGGGGCAAAAGAAAGCTGGTACCTCGTCTGTTCCTGCAGAATGAGATGGGGCTCAACAAAGAACTTGACTCGCAGTCTGAGCCGGCAGGGCGTCACGTTGTCCATCTGCTGGCAGATGCGATTCCTCAGATTCAGCCACAGGTTCTCCCCTTTACCGCCTGTGAATTGCAGCCCAAAGTAGTCCACTTCAATAATGCCCAACTTTCTGCAAACCTGGAGAGAGCAGGGAAATAAATCAGCCATTAAGTTGAAATTTAGACGATTGAACAGGAGCAGATCACTCATTTCTTTATTTGAAAAGTAGCAATATGTCACTCAAGCAGCTGTTTTAGTTTGGGAGCAAACCTGGATTACCAGCTGGTATTACACAACTGCTGATGAGCAGCTATGGAAAGCAGCTATGGAAAGCCTGGAGGCTAATTCTCATTTGTGACATACAAGTTGGGAATATGGCACTCATACAAAAACAAGCAAAGTGTTGCATTTTATTTGCATGAAAACTGAGGCTTCTTGTGGAAAAAGCTCCTTTAGTTGTTTTAATTCCCTGCTTTAAAAGAGAACATTAATGAAGCTACTTTAAAGTTTCAGGCTTAGTGGAGGAAGAAAGCAAAGGATGAACTCTAGTAACCTCAGACGAGCATCTGCTCGACTGCAGGGGCGACACTTTCCCATGAAGTATTAAAACTTTCATGCACGTTCAAAACAAATAACACGTTTTAATCGGAAAAGTCTGAATGTTTAAACATTATAATAAAAAAAAAAAGGTTGCTTATGTGCCTGTCGTGAACAGAAATGATTTTAACACGTTGTGGACCAGCATCTGTTGTTAAAGTGTATAAAGATGTTTACAACTTCCGGTTAGTGAAATAATAACGTTTGACAGAAATTAGCTAGCTTAATCCTAAATAAGCAACAAGTTTAAGGAATATTTTAAGTTTTACTACACAATAGCTGTTGAGCTGACTTGACAATTATGACATTCTTTTTAAATAGCACATATTGTCTAAATATAATACAACAAATGAACATTACGTGTGTTTGAACACACGCAGCCTACCTTGTTCAAACAATCTTCACCGTTCGCCTTCGCATCAACTTGCACTTCCATCACCACCGAGTCCGGACGAGTAACGTGGCAGAGCATTTTGTCTGTGTCTTTGGTGTGCCACTGACTCGTTAAAAATAATAAAACTATACTTTAGCCTTCTTTAAACCCCTCTACATCGAGCCTTCATCACTTTCTTCGCTCCGTTCACTTTGTGTGGCTAATCTGCCTCCGCCAGCTGTAGGGTATGTCAATGAAGCGTCGTGCTAAGCTCCGCCTACTTAAGGTTGACCAATGATAAGCAGCTTGTCATACTTGATGCAGCGTTTCAACCAATCGGAAGTCTTGTTACATCCGCCTGCTGAAACTAATCGGCGGATTGAATCGTGTGGAGCCAACAGCGCCCTCACGCGGTGGTTCTGTTGCTTGCAGCTGGATGCATTTTCACACACCTGAACCTAATGAATTTGACATTCCAGCCACAAGAGCTGAGGTAAGTGGCTTGTTTTCTGCCTTTCCATCGCTTCTTGTAAATAATTTATGGCAGTGCAGCCCAGAAATAGCACTTTTAGCAGCAGAACTTTCTGCTTCACTTGTTTTTTTTTTGCTGCTCCAAGCTTTTATGAATTTTTAATAATAGTAGATTCAACGCTCTTCCATTTTTTTTCCACGTTATTAGCACTTGTTGTTTTTTGTTTAGTCTTTTGAAATGTCAGTGTATGGAAAAAAAAGTTTAATTAAAGGTAAATTAATTGAATTGTTCGCCTACAAAATGTTGTGCAGCCTTGATTGCCAGAGTGACAAGTCATCAAACTTTCTGGAATTAGTGTTAAATGGCTGTTATATGAAAATCTTTTTAAACACCTTCAAAGCAAATGTTTAATTTTTTTTGTTTTTGTTAAAACTTTTTTTTTCCCAACAACCCTCAGACAGGCTGAATATCTGTATTTATTCTACTTCATCTCATCCCCAACAGTTCCTGTTTTATAATATATTATTCAGCAGGGCTGCATTGTGATGGAGGCAGGAAATGTGAAGAGAACTGCAGACTCATACTTAAACCAGGAAATAATGCTATAGCCAAGCTTATGTATTTGCCAGGGGACAATTTGGAGTTGAAGCTCTCTATTTAAATGCATTTTATTTTACTGCATCCCTGATGTAGCTGCAGTGACTTGGATGAAACAAGAGAACAATGGCACAGAATAAAGTTCACTTGTTGTTCTTAAAATTGCATCTTTTTCAGTCAGCTTCATGTCTGATAACTGTGGAAATCAAGTCACTTGAATCATTCAGGAATTTCATGCTCAGTCGTTGAACTCTTGGCAACATGATTAGATTTACTCCAAACTTGGGTAATAATTGATACCGCTGATCCAAAAAGGACTTTTACTGTGGCCTAGTTCCCAAATAAACCATGTTTGTAACTAGTGAGGTCAAAGCGTGGCTGCACATTCATGTGTACTGTGAAAGAGAAAAGAATTTGACTTCTTGCGCAAACAAATATACCCCTCCCATTTCCTGTTGGAGGGTTTAAAAACAAATTGGAGCGTGCAAATTCCCTAGCTTGGATATCACAGTGCACATATTTAATCGTAGAAAAAAAAAAAAGAAGCTTTTATTGTGAAGTCTCATTGTCTTTTTATTGGATTACATGCAATGAATGCGTTGGAAAAAATCAATGCAACAAACATTTATTAGTAGATAAAGGAAGGCATTTGAAATTGTGTCCAATAAATACCCAGCGCTGAAACTAAACAGCTGCTGCTGAATATTTCCCAGTAATGAAACTGACCAGTAATTAATTTTCATGCAAAAAATAAACATTTCTCAAAGGTTTGAGTTACATTTTTAACGTTATTTATAAGAATGATTTTATTTAATGAATGTGTTGCTTTAGTTCTATCAAGGTGTTAAACGTTAGGTAGTCACATTCCTCAAAGCAGTGCAAATATTAACTCCACAAGAACCTCGGCAGACCTAATCAGTTGGAACGCGCCTGCATCTCTCTGTACGATAAGGTCGGCCATCATGGAGTCAGTCCAGGCCGCCGTCCTTTTGCCCGACATGCTGCAACCAGTCGGTGACTCCGTGCAGAGACATGAGGTGCCACTGTAAAGCCATAAATGGAAAGGCAGATTACTGCACCACTGACCCCGAACAGTACTTGAAGAGTAGACAACACACACAGCTGGACCACACTTCGTGAGCTCTGAGCCATAGATCAGCTTTAAAGTTTGAGTTCAGATAGAAACCTCTGTGTTTAACGTTCAAGAAAACAAGTTTAGTCGACTTGTTTGTCCTCTCTGTGGGTGGATAATGAAACAAGAAGTCACCAGTGGAACTCAAGTTCTCAAAGCTTTATCGCTCAAAGGCCTGGCATTCCTTAAAGGCCTGCTGCCTTTCATACTAGAGTTTTAGACCAAGATCATCCTGTGCTGAGAAATGATTTTGTGCGATATTTCAAGATGTTGCGTTCACTGTGACTGACTCGCAGCTACGACCACATTAAATTTTTGTTGAATATCTTCAAATCATTGAGGTGTAGCTGTTTTTAGGTTGGCTAATGTTGACTAGTGTTGGTTTGTATATGCAGAACTTGTGAATAGTGGCCAACTATTGCACATTTGCAGCTGAAGTGACTAAAACTGTTCAACAATGGTGATGTCTTTGGAAGAGCCGTGTGGGATAGAGTCTGTAAACTTATTTGAAGGTTCATAAAACCTGCTGAGCTTTGTCTTTAGCAGCAGATTTAGTCTTATCGTTCCACTTAAATGTTTTTTTTTCCACTCCACCTGTTCAGTTCTGTCACATTTTCTCACCTACACAGAAAACAGCGAGCCTAACCCTCATAAATCAGCTGTTTTTCATTTGGTTTTGATGAATTTAACAGAGTGCTTTGTTTGCATTAATTCATTTTGAATTAAGTATAACAAAATAAATGTTTTAAATGCATATCAGTCTACACGGGCTCGTGTTTGCTCAGCGTTGAGGTTTATTTGTTTGTCGTCTGGGTTTGAGCGTTTGCAGACTTCTGGTTTGCAGCGAGGTATGACATCATGCAATGTGGCATCGCTTCCCTCCAAGGCAAGTCACTGCTCACTCAACTGGAGTGTGAACACATAGCCACGCAGGGGTTTTTGTGTGTGTGCAAAACTGTGTGCACGTGACATCACAGTGTCATCGCTGCCCATCTCCAAAGCTGTGCCTCTTGAAGCAGAGACTACGTAAGGAAGCGCCATGTTAGCAGAGCGGCTGTAGCTGTTGTTGTGATGACCTCGGTGATATATTTTTTATTTTTTATTTGCTGGGCTCAAACCAGAAGATGAACCGTGCTGAGCAGCGGGCGGAATAAAGGAAGAGGAGGAACCGACAAAGTATGAGGAGGGGGCAAAGGGCAAGCTGCTCCTCTGAGTCTGAAGAGCACCAACGTCCATGGTCAACGGATTCAGACGATCAGTTTACACCCTCTGGATGCTCGTCTGATGAGGATTCATCGTCTGTTTCAGACGCCGAAGCAATGAAGAGGAGTCAAAGGTTCAGCGGGTCTTTTAGCTTCGAGGAGGACCAACAGCAAAAGTCCAAAAACGAGGGAAGTGAAGAAGAAGCGAGGACTTCTTGTGGTCTTTCAGTCTCAGAAGTGGTGGAGTCAGAACTGGCGACGAGCTGCATGAGAGTCGAGAAAAGAGGAATAATTTGTGACACGAATCGACCCAGGTCAAGTTTATTCAGGCCTCAAGGGTTATGGCTGGCGATGACGAGGTGTCTTTCCCTCCGATGGGTGTCCACGAGCAGACAAACGAACAGGAAATTAGTGTACCGGGTGGATCTCCACCATGAGGACACCCAGTCATCCATCAGCTCTGACTCAACCCGGGAGAGTTCAGGTTCGTCCGACTCTGATGATAAAGACGTCTCATTGTTGAGACACAAAGAAAAGGACGTCAGCGGCAGAGTGGTTAAAAATGTCCCACCCCCTCGTCGAGGAATCTCTCATTCCTCCCCCAGAGTACCACGGACGAGACAGGCCTCAGACTTGGTGCTGGCTTCAATGATCCTGGAGAAAGAAATGTTTCTGAGAGTTGAGCTGGTGGATTCAGGCAATGAGGGTGATTTACGTTACCGAGCTGAATGGAAGCTGTCAGACAGAAGTAGAGAGCTGGCAGAGGGGGTCTGGCTCTCTCGAAGCCAAAATGTTATAGATTGATGGCTTTTACTTGAACTTGGCTTGGAAGTGAGACTATCTCTGCTTCCCTTCGAGTCAGACTCCTCACGTCTTCATAATCATCCTTTGGTGTGACGGCTGATTAGTAGCGACCCAGTTTTCATCGAATTATCAAGATTGTTTTGCATGACGTCTGTGTCGAATGCTGCAACCATTTAACTGCTGATAACCAATTAAAATGCTATTTTTAGTGACAGCTCTGAAGTGTAAAGGTTTATTTTGCTGCCTTTCTGCATCTCGCACAGATTGTGTTGCACACGGCTGGTCTCGTGTGGGAGGCAACGGAGATCCAAGAGAATACGTCTTTAAAATCTTTTCTTGTATTGTGGTTATACGTTTTTAAAAAATTGCTGTTAACTAAATGGAAATTTATTTATCAAACACAACAGAACATGTTTATCTTAAAACAAAACATTTCAGTATTGTTCGGACTATAAGGTGCAAAACAGTTTGACATATTTTTGAGCACCGTGCGCCACATAAAATCGATTCGAGGTCATTAATCCCAACCAGAATTCAAATATAAGGTGCACCGGATTATAAGGCTCACTGTTGATTTTTGGGAAAATTAAAGGATTTTAAGTGCGTTTTATAGTCCAAAACGTACGATAAACTGTTTTCATGGTGAACGAGCAGATTATAGTTTGGATGCATAAAATCAATGTAAACATGATTTAGTTCTAGTTCAAGATATCTGAAGTGAAAACAATTTCACTAATGATGAGTCACTGAAGGGTCACCAGAGGACGATGGAGGAGGAATTAATCGTTCTGAGCACAGACAGACAACACAACGATCATCACCAGTTTCTACATGCATGCACTCAGCTCGACCAGCGGTTACATAACAGGGTCTGTTGTAAGAAAAGTGGTGGAATTCAGAACGTACATGCAAGATCACATCTGTATGTTCAAACCTAGCATGAACATTTTTCTCAAATTTCAATCCTGTGAAGACTTTGAAACGGAGAAGTCTGAATTTATTTTGTAGTCTCTTTGATATAAACTTTAGACTAAAAGATATCCAAAT